AGTCAGAAGATTTTACTGTTCTTGCAGGAAATAAGTAGTGGGGTTGCAGGTATGTTACAGGCCAGACATCAAGGTAATCCAACAATGTTTGGCTTTGTTTTCTTATTAGGGAAATGTAAACAAAACAGACATTATTAACATGCATGATTAATCTGCATAATTTTACAGACAGTACATTTCATGTAAAGTGCTATTTGTACAGAGTCCGTGCTAAGAAGTCATTAGCCAGCAGTTTTCAGTAGAAATATTAGCATCATGTTCCAGACTCTTTTGAATTTTATCATCTTAATCAGCCAAACAGTAACTACCTTTTTCTAAAGCAATAAACAGGTATTTATTTCCTTTCAAAATAATCAAATAAATCCCAGCCTTTTCTCAATAGCTATAAGCAGTCTGTGCAGGAGAGTCAAAAGCGTCCCAAAGAGACACCATATTTTCTTATTCCTACAAACAATTGGGATTTAAGAGACATCATGTAATGCTGTCACTGAGGTTGACAGCATGACGTCTCTTTTGCAGATTGAAAGCTTCAGACTCTGGACTGTCACCCCAGCACCTTTATCAACCATCGTCCTCTTAGAAGTGCTTTGAAGAAATAGATCCAAACCAACCAAATCAAACACAAACCAACAAACCTCCCCAAGAGCAGGCTGTCTGTTGCACTGAGTTGCACAGGAGGCAATGAAAATGCAAGGAAATGATATTTGCAAAATGAGAATAGGGCTTCACGTTTCCCATTATGAAGTTCAGTGCTATAAACTGCCCGAGCTGAGCTACTGGTGCCCCCCTGTGTCTCAGTGAGATTTTACTGTTCTCCAATCCATGGTATAATAGTCCTGAAACATGCACTATACACATATTCCCTCCCCAGCCCCCCAAAAAAGAAAAAAAAAAACAAAACCAAACTTAAATATTGGCACAAACTTGTAAGCACGCAAGGAAAAAATAACTTTATGTTTTGGAAATGTTGAAGGCATTTCTTCATGTTACAGTTTTGTCCTCTGTTAACATAGATAAAGCCCCCTTCTTGTCTATATAAAACTTGAATATAGCCCAGTGGCGCCTGCACAGTATTCTAGTGAGAAACCTAAACAGTAACTACAAAAACACAGCTACTCATTAAAAATTTCTATTTTGCTTTTTTACGTTTTTCCCCCTCTCTTTTTATAAATACTGCTAAGTGTCTCCAATACAGCTTTCCAAAGAGAGAAATTAACAAGGACAGCAAATACTGTTAGAAAAATTAAAGTAGTTAATATGGGTTTGTTACTTTTAGGAATCGGGGGGTGGGCAGAAAGAAAACCTATTAAGTGGTCAGCAAAAACCAGCTGCTCCTGCAGGTACCACCTCAGGTGTTGGAAACCCCTTTGCCTGAGGCTCCCGTCACGCAGGGTCCGTCCGGCGGCTGCCGCTGCCGTGCACCATCTGCCGGCTGCTACACCACCACATTCCCATTTTTTGGACATATTTATCCTGTGAACTGCTTCCATGCAGCTAACAGAGCCCCAGCAAAGGAGAAGAGCTAATGCTGCCTCCGCACCTCCCCGCGGGCTGGAAGGTGGCTTCTCCTCCACCCCCCCAGGCAGCTCCCACCGCCACCGGCAGAGAAAAGCCACCGTGCTCGACCTCCAAGCTCTCCTTGGATCACACACACCATCTGCACAGTAATTTCCTTATCGGGCATTTTCTAGACTCTCCTCCTATTTTAGCAGCTTGACCTGAGGTTACAGATAAATTGACAAATGCGAAGGGAAGAAGGAAAAAAAAAAAACATGTATTTATAGATTTCTTTTCTGCCCATCAACACGAAAACTATCTGGTCACTCAGCAAAAAGAGCACATGCTGCTAAATGTATTTTCTGAAAAATGTCCATCTTGCACAGAGCAAGTTTGTGATTTCGCTTACTGCAGCCAAGGCAGCCCTAATCTTTCTTTAGGAAAGGACAATGGGAGAAAGACCATGTATAGTTCCTTGCAACACATCCACCCTTTGGTTTTTAGCATTTTAAAGTCAAAATATGGTGATTAACACCGGAAAAAATGTAGACAGCTGAGATGGAAAGTGGGCATAATTAGGAAATCCACTTATGAAGTAACAGCAACAGTATTTTTGTTACATATAAAATTATTAAGCTCTTATTCAGCTGGAAAAGGTTATTATAATAATCACTCAAATTTGCAAATGTTTCATTCTAATCAGGCTGCTAGTATAAACTTGTCTATATTATGGCAGTCTAAATTTGTTTCCAAATTCCAAAGCCACAGAAATTAATTTTTCCTGACAGAACCTCATTTGCAAGTGTACACATGTAATGGATGAAATCTGGCCTTTCAAAAAATTGGTGGTACTTCTGGAATCCTGGCTTGGCTGAAGCTGATGGCAGCCACAGCTATCAGCACTGCTGCAGATCTACACTGCTGGGGCAATTTCTGACAAAAACATTGTGTGAAGTAAAATCCTTTTCTGTAGGAACATACTAAATTTATTAAGCTCTCTTTCATAAATTTTTTTTTATACTGAGATGCGTTATCTGGTCAAAATGAGAAACAGATGCACTCCAGAACAGCTAGTGGGTTGATGATGAAGGTGCTGGCATGGGATGAACCAGGTTTTATACTGTCTACATTGGTCACTGCAACCTAAGTCTGAAAAATGGCTGGAAGTCAACACTCATGGCAGCTCAGAATTTATCATAAATATCAAGGGTTTCATACCTAATTCTACTCTCCACTACTTTCAGGCAAAAATCCCAATGAAAGAGTGCCTCAGGAGTAGGTAGTCAATTACCACTTTGCCATGATGGTATTTAGGATGTCAACCCCATTTTGCTGTGGCATATTCCAATTACTGTTAAACCTCTTGCTTCCGTTCACCCTTAGATTTGCTTTCTGTTATCTTGTAGGGTTTGGGGTTTTCTTAAGCACTTGCACACAGAATTACTACCCAGTGATACCAGTGTAACTGTGTTGAGGAAAGCCCATAGGTGGATCCTTCAGAATCCAAAACCTTGTACTAATTGATGTACTCTAAAAACACATGCAGTTATTTTTCCTCCTATATCTCAACCATAAGTTACTTATTGCTCATACGGACACCACTGGAAACATCAACCACAAGTTATCTCTCAGTCCTGTTCAATAGTCCTGTCAGTCAACACCTGTGCTACAGGCACAGGGTTTTTTTTTGCTCAAACATTACAAACCACGACACTGTTTCTTGTGATGCTCAGTTCACCAGCATCAGAAACACTCCTCCAGAAAGTCCTGCAGGTCTGGTTAGCAGAGCAGAGGTTGGAGCTTCGTCCTCTGAGGAAATTTTATTTCTACATCGTGTGATGGAATGTCACAAAATATGTGTGTAAGATCCCAGCCTACCCCCCGCTGAACAAACCAAAAAAGTCATCTTCATATGATCAAGAGGGGAATGTTAAATATGGTAAACAAATTGGATTTATCATCTTTGAGTTTTACTCTGTTACACAGAAGGCATTTTTATTAAAATAAAAAAAAAAAGGAAAAAAATTAAATGCAAGAGGTGGGAGTCCAAACTCCTTTTCCTGGAAAACTCTGTGAATGACTGGAAAACTAGCATTACTTGAGTCTCACAAGCACCAGAAAAGTTCAATACTTAAGAGATTCTTACTCTGGTTTTGCTGACATTGTAATTAGAAAGTAATGGCAAACAGCTGAGATGAAATATTTGTCAGAGATCCAGATTTGCCTATCTTTTCTAAGGTTTAAAAAAAACCCTATATTCTGGGGGAAAGAGGGAGTAAAATTACTCACTTCTACCAGTCTGTCACAATTTCTCTACATACAAACACTCATGAAGGAGAAGGCACAGAGCAAGTTTTACTCCTTAAGCGTAATCTCTGTCATTAAAGTTTGCAGAAAAGCAGATGTCCATCAAAGTTTCTTTAGAAAATACATAAACTTGGGTCTTCAATTATCTGGTAGAAATGTCTTTTCAGACTTAAACCTGACAAGCCTGTCCTCAGCTTCCCTTAGGGCAATCGTGTCCCTCTGGCTAGGATAGCCTGGAGATCCCAATGGGGACAAAATAAAGGGCACAGACTTAAGCTCGGAGAGGACTTGCTACATTGTGTCAAATTGGTTTAATTCCGAGAGAAGGTTTGACAATTTCTGCTCTGTTTTGATGTTGGAACATAAACCATAACATTTGGAGCTGCATACCTTCAACCTTTTCCTGTAATCCCAAAATAAAAGCTAGTTTATTACAACTCAAATAGCAAAACGTTGCAACATCGTCCTAACACCCTCACATTTGAGCCAGATTTTTCAGATGGTTTGCATAGTTATAAAAGGCTGATTCCAAGGAAAATTTACTCACACAGAGCGAGACCAGAAGTGCTGGCCAAAAAACAGGACCTGAGCCCAGAGCGTTCACCACAGCAGCCCAGTGTGGAGGTGCTACTTGTGGATGGAGGGAGAGGGGCACTCGTGTCCCTTCCACCCCTGTGTGTCCCAGCACCAGTCCTGCCCCAGCACTGATCCTGCCCCACTGAGGGCTGTGCAGGGTTCTGCAGCTCGCAGGAAGAACCCCCCTTGAGTAAGGTCTCTCCCTTTATTTCCCATGACAGCGCAAATATTTGGTGTCAAAATGCTTCCAAAAGTCCATGAGATTTAGGCTCTGTAGCTCACATTTGTTTCACGTGAAAAATATACGGGATATAATTTTACACACTATTAGGGAAGAATTCAGTGAACCCTTTATTTTGAGGTACGAGAAACCAGATACCTCTCGGACAACATGGCTTTTTCTACAAAGTCTGTACATTAAAAACCCACTACTTCTGCCAAAATCATTAGATTAAGGAAGGTAAAAGACGGATGATGATTTTAAAACAAAGATCAGGCAACAACATGGTGAAGAAGTCCATGATTTTAAGCTCAAAATACTGTACATGTTTATGCAAACCAATAATTATTACCAAAGGATACTAATAAATTAATCATAACTCAAAGTAGAAGTTAGCTACCTTCAATGCTCTGTGGGCCAACTAGATTCATAGCCTGGTGTGCTGGATATTCGACCCGTGGCCTGGCAATGCCCAGTTGCTCCATGACCCCATGGAGGAGCCTCTGGATATCTGCTTCAGAAACCCTGTCAGGGGTCCTAGGGCTGTGGCTAAAAGCCGAAGCCAACCCAAGCGCCAGCAGAAATAACATGTTAGAAAGCAAGGTCGTTGTCATTCTGGTAGCCACTCGCATCCTGTGAAAGAGAAAGGTAGTTGATTATAAACGATAGTGGGAAGAGAGTCCAGAACACATGCTAAAAATAGCTTCTGAGCTTACTGCTGCACATCACAGCTTCCAGGGGCAGCTGAAAACTTAGGGGAAGGAGGGGAAAAAGGAGGGGAAGCAGGGAATAGATTCTACTCTTCTCAAAAAAAAAATGATCTATAGCAAACTGCAGAAATCAATTTTCTGATTTCAATTTGCCCATGACATTCGTTAACAGTCGCTACAAACAAAACAGATCCACTGTTTAAATTAATAAGAATATGTTCCCCCCTCCATCTTTATTATGCTATTTTTCTAAAGCTCTGGGCTGCAACCAAAGCATTCCCCAGCCAGGAATTGTATTTCCAAGCTCTCTTCTTGCACTGCCTGAAAAATGAATCACCAGGATCTGCTGAACGACCTGCATGTTTTATTTGTACCTTAAGAGGCTTCCTACTCCATTCCCATCATCTTCCCCACCTGAAGCAAATAGATTTCATTTGTTTCCTTGAATACCTTCCACTAAATGGCTGCACAGTGTAGTTTAATTAGGAAAAAACCAAAACAAATAACCCAACAAGCACCACTTACTGTCCTCTTTGAGATGCTGAGTTTTAATCAGAACGCTTGTTTCCAAAAGCTCCTTTCCCCCTCACATCACAGAATAATTAAAATGACCATCGATCCCTTTTAAATAAATAAACCCCCCTCGAATCCCCTTTGTCTTCCTTGAAGAAGGAAGCTCCTTTAAGCTGTGCCTGATTTCTCCACACCGGACTTTAGAGATGCTCCAACCACCCTGCACAAGGCACCTGAAAACGTCTTTGAGGCAAAAATGGCTGGAAAATCCACATCCCCCCCGCCTCCGGTGCCGGAAACAATCCCCGTTGCGCCTGTGCGCGGCTCCACCGCTCCCCGCGCATCTCCACTCCATCGCCCTCCGCAGGAGAGCGCTGCGCGCACGGCCGCCCTCCTCGGGCCTGTTTAGAAGGGAAAAAAACCCTCTTTCTGTGAAACCACCCCCGCGGAAAGCTGCGCCGTGACCCCCATCATCCCCGTCCCTGTCCGCTCCGCCGCCCCCGGGCCCCGTCGCGCTCACCTCCCGCTCCCGGCGCGGCGGCTCCGCGGCCCAGCATCCTCCCTGCGCAGCCGCGGACCCTGCCCCCCCCCCCCCCCCCCCCCCCCCCTTTTTTTTTTTTCTTTTGTTTTTCAGAAAATACTAGAAGGACCTGGAGTTCTGCCTGTTTAAACTGCTGAATATTTCCTTCACAATTTTTAGCTGTGGGCTTGAATCATGGCTCCGGATTCTCTTCTACTGACTCAGATGAGGGGAAGAATTCATCTCTGGTAGAAGGCTGGGGGGT